TTGGTTTGGTCAATTAAGTGGTTTTTGTAATACAATTCGATTAACATTTATTTTATGTAAATAACAATCATGGCGGAAATAATGTATCAATATCATTCAGTTTTATAGGACTATCTAAGTTACTTAAAATGTTATTCCTTATAGGTATAATTTTGAAACTCTTATAGGTATACCTACATTGTAGAAACTGTCCTTACTACAAGTAATGTTATAAAACTTTTGATAGGCAACCATCTAACCGCTCATAGTGTTGTCAGGTTCGCTATTTTTGCCTGCACTAATAATGGTTTTTAAGGTTTATTAAGCACATAAATATTTAATAACTCACAATTTAAATTTAAAAAAATTAAAGACACAATAGTTTTATAAAAAAGGTAACCGCAAACTTTATAAAGCTTCGTTATAAACCTACTGGTAATGGTTACTAAAGGTAATATAAAATGTTTGTAGAAACAATTATATAACCTAATTATATTCCTAGAGTTTACAGTAACCTTATATGACCATTATAAAACTAGTAAACTAAATGTCGATTTTATAAAACCTTGTTAAACTCTTATATAACTTGACAACTCTTTATATAATTTATCGTTACCATAAGTGGTACAAATTGTTTATTGGGAAGGCATATTATAATAAATATTTAACAATTAACAGACTTCTGTATGATCTGAAAAGATTCCTTGTGACTATTTAGATATTTCATTTAAATTCTTATAAACAAATCAAAAGAGCCCTTCAAAGAATAATTTAATTAAAAATGTTTTTTTTATTTTATTGTTTCGAAACCTTCAATGTGTCTTAATGTTGCACCCTTTAGTAATAAAATGAAAAACACAATATTTAGTAGAATTTAACCTGGTGAAACCTGAAACTGGAAAATTATTAAGGTTGAAGTGGCTGACGCCCATTTTCAAATGAGTTTACTTTATGCCTGAGTTTGTCATTCTCTGGATATTAAATTGTTATGAGGGAAATTTACGTATTGCATTATTAAATTCGCCTGCTTTATGACATTCGCTTTTGCCGTAGCGTTTTAAGGGTGTATTTTGAATGCGTTGCGTCTAAAGACGTAATATTTATTTTACGGCTTTCCGCCGGAGCTGAAACTCTCGACGCCTATTTGCATAATTTACCGGCGCGTCCCCAGAAATTTTTCATTAAAATCCTTATTAATTCGATTAAAAGGAAAGAAAAAATAAGTGGCTTTAAAATACCAAGAGGGCCTTGGTTTTAAAGAATATGATAATGAATTACACTAATTAATAAACAGTAAATTTTTTTAAACTTTTTTATAGTATTGTTGATTTTTTTTTTAATTTTTAAGGTTTTATACTACAATGGGGTAGTTAAATTTTTTCTGACCTATACTTTTTATGGTTTTATTCAAGGCGTTTTGTAATATTAAACATTTCTGTGAAATCAGAATTTCAATTGAGTTTACCGTTTTCGAGATATTTACAAAAAATTTAAATTTTTATGACGTCACAAACCTCGCCATGTGACCAACATTCTAAGATTTCTATTGGTTGAAAATTACCCTGTTGTCAAGTTGTCTTGTTAATGATTTCATTCGGTTATGTCTAGTGATTCCCACGAGAGTCTCGTTTTCGAGAGTCTCGCATGGTCTCGTCTCGTTTTCGAGACGAGACTCGAGACGATATTTGGATTGGACAAGACGAGACGAGACGAGACGAGACTTTTATTGGTCTCGTCTCGAGTCTCGAGCGAGACTTCTGAAGTCTCGTGCGAGAGTCTCGCAGGAAAATATTTCTGCGAGCGGACTTGATCGTCAGGCGGTGTTATTAAACAAACGTTTGGCGGTCATTTTCTTTTGTCGGGCCGCCGGAGCAGCCTTTGCATCCCACTTTGACTGTCATAAATTTAGCGATATGTATGTGTAAGTAAATAAAGACAATTAATTGTTTCGACTTTTACTTGATGAAACTCCATGTTAATAATATGTTAATATAAACTACATTGTTTAAAAGTTTCACTTTTTTATTTAAATATAACAAGATGGGGCCAAGAATTAAAACTGAGTTCGATCCAGAAATTTCAAGATATATACAAAGTTTATTTTCATCAATCAGAGGGACAACGTTTAAAAAAAACGGCGGTCGAGGGACAAGAAGATCCTGAACCAGAAAAGTCGGATTTTGTAATCGATTTTGATGTCTTGTATGCAGTAAATCGAAATCGCCTTAATAATGAATCTGCACGATGTTTGTTATGCCTAAACGACTTGGTGAAAAACAAAAATATTTGCGATCCAGAAAGCTGTTAGCAGATTTGTTTCAAATTATTCACAAAATGTTAAGATTTCGTTTTATTTAAAAGTAATATTTCAAATAGATGATGTTATCTACAGTTGTAATTTTCTCTTCCCACCCTTACATTATATATAGCAAGTAGGTAAGTATCCGGGATACTTAACTACTGCATCCCTTACTGAAACAAAATTATCCATGAAGGGATTTCGAGACTTTTGCGAGACTCTCGTACGAGAAACGAGACGAGACGAGACTGGAGGCTGCGAGACGAGACTTGATACGAGACTTCTTATTTCATCGGCGAGACGAGACAAGACTTTATGAAAGTCTCGTCTCGTTGGTCTCGTGGGAATCACTAGTTATGTCAGAAAATACCCGAAGAGGTTATGTACAAATACTGTCACTGTCAGCTGAGTGAAAGATGGTCACCAAATTCATTAAGTACCTATCTTCCTTATTACGAGGTATCATATTACTGTTTGATATTTTAGAGTTCAAGATATATATATCTAAAAGAATATAAAGAACCAGGCATTATACTAATGAAATGCATTTACGACAAAATATGATTATACTACTTACTTTATTTGTTTAAAAGCTCCAATGTTCAATGTAACCAACCATTCCACAAGATTCCTCTGCTTTGGAGTCCGTTATTAATAAATCACTTATCTAATATCAATTACATATAACATAACAATAACATTGATTTTCAATAATCTAAATTTAAAAAAAACAACCCGAAAAAAAGAAACGTCAAAAAATCAATTCTTCTTCTTCTTCTCAACTAAAATTATAGATCAAGTGGTTTTAAAACTAAAATATTATAACGTGGCGCCATCTATCGTAAGAATCTTAAACTAAACACACTGGCAACCATAGAAAAAGCTGGCAACGTTGTCAATAGCCTAGTGACGTAATTAGGAGATTTTTTTTTGTAAATATCTCGAAAACGGTAAACTCAATTGAAGTCCGATTTCACAGAAATGTTTAAAATTACAAAATGCCTTGAATAAAACCATAAAAAGTATAGGTCAGAAAAAATTTAACTACCCCATTTGGACGATTTTTTAAATTTGGTTATTTAGTCAAAACATTTTTTGCTTTTAATAGTTTTACCCACAGACCTACAAACTTGTTTGTAGGTCTGTGGTTTTACCTAAATATTTTACATACACTGAAAAAAATTATTCTTGTATCAAATAAATTTATTTGATTCAAAACAATGTTTGTCTCATATATAACGAAGAGAATATATTCTTTAAAATAGTAAAGTATTTTCTTAATTCACGTTGATTTACTTCAAAAATCTTTTCTTAATGTAAGAAAATTAAATTTCTTTAAATAAAACTTTGATTGTTTAAAAGAATGAATATATAATTTTTAAAATAAGGCAGCAATATTTACTTAAGTCAAGAAAATGTATTTTCTTTAACCAAATAATTGGTTGTTTTAAAGCAAGAATATGTTCTTTTAAAAATAAATTAGTGGTATTCTTAAATAAAAAAGATACTTACTTAATTCAAGAATAAATTTTCTTAAAACAAAAACATGTGATTTTTAAGAGAAACGTGTCGGCATCTCCACTCCTACACGATTTTAAAAATATGTATTCTTGGCAAAAGAAAATACTGTTTATTAAAACGAATAAAAAAAATTAAGAATATCTAATTTTTAATATAAAAATATTAAACAAATAAGAATATCTTATTCTTGATATAAAAAAATATTAACAATTGTACCAAGAAAGCAACTAAGATTTCCTTCAAGAATATTTAATATTTGGATTGAAACATGCAACTTTTTAAAACAAGAAATGTTTCTTAATATTAGAATATTTCCAAAACTACAAAGAACTTTTAAAGAAGTTAAATATTTTTAGTTAAAATATATATTCTTATTTTAAAGGAAGTTGACTTGAATGAAAAAATATGTTTAAGATGATAGGTGATCTAAATCTCTTTTTTAGTGTAGTAATGATTTTTTATGTCAAATAGCCATAGCCAACTCATTATTTGTATGTTTAAAAGCAATTAATAGGGTATTAAGCGCGAAAACGAATCGAGCATGAATGACTCCTTTGAAATGGCAATCTGGCAAACTAAAGGGGGGTCAGAGGTGGTCCAGGTCGCGGTAGGCGGTATAATTAGGACCGGATTGCAGACCGATCTGAGTCGATCACTAAGAGACACTGTCATTAACTCAGGCAATACCGAATTAACTTGTAAATATTCATGGGCATCGGCATCTCATTGCCTCTGCCTTCTTGATTAAGAACAATACTGTGACCCCCACGCCGAGGTGCCACTTGGACATAATTAACATGTCAAAGCTTAAAGGTTTAATTAAAAATAAAGAATTATTAAATCCTTCAAGATAGATTGTGGTTTTGATTTTAATATTTTAAAATCAAACGACCGTAGATTCAATGACATGCCAACAAACCAAAAACTAAACGAAAGAAAATAAAAAAGGCAAACAATAAAAGTCATCTGAAATATATTTATCATTATTAGCCGCAGTAGAAGTATTGTTGGGGTGGAAATTTTATCTTCGGGAATTCAGATCATAATTTCTACTTTATCGTGACAGGAGGGCAGGGCCTTCTATTCGGATATTGCTTCGGTGATATTATTGCCACTAAAAAACAATGGCGCCTTATAAAAACTCGGTTTTCATTGGTCAGGGATACTGTGTAGGAATATAAACACGCATTCATATATGAAAATTTGTATTATGGGAGGGAATATAAGAGTTCAAGAGTTTATTATAAACGTTGATATAAGAATCTTAATTATTAACATAACATTTAAATTATCTTATTTAGATGTGGAACATTATTTGCATTCTTCATTATCATCACCAATTGGCTCTCCTTGTTTTACTTGCTCTCCTCCTTGTTCTACTTCTTCTCCATCTTCACAAACTTCCTCTTCTTTTACACATTCCTCATTAGACATACCTTCGGTGGATTCAACACCATTCACACCGTCATCTGAAACATCATCTTTTTTAACTTTCTCGAGTATTTTAAGGTCTTTAAAGAGTTTTCCTTTGTTCACTGTTTCGAATATCAAGTCGCATCCTCTGTCAAAGGCTTCTTCAAATGCAAACGCACATACCACGGTGGCCAAAGCGAACGTGGAGGTTCTCTTGTAGATGATCTTGTAGAGCGAATCTGCGATGCCCATTTTTGATAGGATTTTATGACTTTGACAGATCTAATTTTTGACAACAATTACCACCCATTGTTGTCAAAATAGATTGTTTACACCTCTGTCTAGAGAATTGCTGGATATCTGGAGCTTTAAATATTATATAGAGAAAATCAAACAGCAAATAAAGTAGACGGGAAATGGTGGATCTAACACCGGAGCGGCTCCCGTACCCGTCCGACGTAGCTTAATGGCCGGATCCCGGAAATTGTGAGCACATATATCTCGCGCCAGATTTATGAAAGTGCTTTTCTTCCGAGTGCACCGCCGTCCCCCCTCCTGCCGCCGCCTCCGGGTTATATACGCCACCTTTACTTATGTACCTGTATCGTCTGCTACCTTCGTTTCGCTGCACTAAAACGATACAAAAGAGATTAAAAGTTCCACATATCCACAAAATTTAATAAAAAAGTAGGTATTCTGGGAAAAACGTGCTAAAAATTTACAGGGTGGACAAATCACTCAATTTCTGATTTATTAGGATTCTTAAGACAGTTATGATTTGATTTAATTTAATTTTATTGGGACAGTTATATCTAGTGAACCTTAAAGCAAATTTTGAGTTGTCTTTAATAATAGATTTTTACCTATCAAAGGCTATTCCAGTCTGTTTCTTGTCATTATATGTTATATAATTTTTACAACCAAAATACAGAACAAACCACCATTGTATTTTAATATTAAAACCGACATATTTATAAGCACAAACTCTTACCACAATAAAACAGAACCACTCTGATCATCTTACCCAAATTCTAAATATTAAATTGGAAATATATATATATATATATATATATATATATATATATATATATATATATAAAGGGGTAAGTAAAAAAATTAACAGAGGTGCCCCACAAATGGGTTCCAAATCATAAAAAAACTTCAAAAGGTCAAAGGGAACACGTGTCCCACAGGGCTTCAGAAAATTCGGAAGGCCTATATAACTTCGAAACGGTCTATCGTAAAAAAAAGTGTTTATAAATTTTGTGGGTTAACTTATGACCAACAACTTTCTTAATTACAGCTCTGCGTTTGGGGTCAAAAAGCGATAAAATGCTTTTTTGGGCGCTTTAGCGCCACCTACTTTTTTAATTTTCTGTCCCAGATCATCGACCCAATGACATAAATTGTAGGGAATAATGCGCCCTAAATTTTTTGTTGACAAAATGTTGTTCTTAAACTTTTGGAAAAAATTAAATCCAAAATTTTTGAGTTCTTCCAAAAACACTTGCTATAACTACGAAACAGTTTATCGTAGGAAAAAAAAGCTAAAATGAATTTTGTAGGTTTTTTCAAGATTATCAACTTTCTAAATGATGTTAAAAAAAAATCTGGTTCAAAAAGCGATAAAACTTTTGAAAATTTTCGATCTTTTGATTACAATTTTTGTTTCTAAATTTTATCGTTTTTTTAAATAAAAAAAAACAAAAATTGAGTTTTCACTTAATCCGAAGTATGATAAAGCAAAGTTGGGTTTTCTTATGAGCCCCAAAAGGTTCAAGCAAAAAAATTCTTGCAAAATTTAAGGTTAATCCGTCAAAACCAACACGTGCGCCATTGTTCTTTTTGACCGAGAGAGGGTTTTTTTAGAAAATTTTGGAAATTCGAAGAGGTGATTTTTCGCAATTTTTTATCTCCTAGCCAAATTTATTTTATTAACTTTATAACTAATTAATTTTGCAATTTCTCAAAAAATTAGGTCCAATTATCTCATCGTATGAAACGGCACACCAAATAGTGAATTCTAGAGTTTTTCTTTTTAATTTGGATTTTCATCTGACCAGTACCTACAATTTTGTGAAGAAACAACTTCTTTATTGGTAAAACTCGGTTGGCCAAAAAATACTGTTGTTTTCAAAATTTATTTCCGTGATACACTTCTCTCCAATCCACAGACAAAAGTCCAATCGAATTTCTTCGTCGTTGGATTCCAAAGTGTGACGAAATTTAGGTTGTACGGATTTGCACAAGCTAAGATCTGCTTTCCTACGTCTTTGCAAAGCACACTGGAAATTCATTTTATGTCAAGCAAGCTGCAACAAATAATTTTTTACAATAATATTTTTTACAACTATCTCAAAGTCAATCCGGGGACACTGCATGTGTATGAGTATGACTGTGATGAGGGAAATAAAGGCATTTGCATCAAGTGAGGGGGGAAGGTCGGAGGATCAGGGATTTATCCAGGCATCGGAGCGATAAATCCGCGCGACTTTATTAGATATCGGGCTAATTTATGGCGGTTGTCTCCGCCAGCTCTGAACATCGCTTATAAAATATATCGGCGCAGCAATGTGCAACACTTACCCGAGCACCGCCAATATCGGCTGTCACTTGGAAGAAAATATCCTGTCGAATAAACCGCCCCCTCGTGCCGCCACCATCCCTCGCGTCTATTGCCAGATTACAATCACGACGAAAAGTAATCTATATCTGGAACTAATTAAAGACGCTACTCTCGTTAAATTCCCAAATAAATATTGAAAACGATCAATAAATCGGATACAATCAACTGGATGTTTCGTCGACAACCATTTACTATCAAAGTGGAAAATTGGATCCCCAAAAGAAAATTAAATAGACAAAATTTCTAATACAAATAAATTTAAAATGACCACTACATAAACAGGTAGAGATAGAGATAAAGATAGAGAGATAGAGAAATAGAATGACCTTTGAATAAAAAACGTTTAATAATAAATAAGTTCGGTAAGATTAAAAATATAAAAAAAAGATAAATAATTTATATAAATAAGGAACACAGTAAAAATCCAGGTCCCATTAATCAACCACAATTTTGAACTTATATGAAAAGAATTATTAATCAATGCCCTGAACAAAAAAATTAAAACATACCTACATAAATGAACACAAAAATAACATACACAGTAAAAAAATCAACTCTAAGCAACACTAATTAGAGTTCACACAGGTCCACACTAAATTGTGTTGTTTTATAACACTACAATTAGAGTTAATTAGTAGTGTAATTTTCCCCAAGTAAACAAGTATGATTTAACACTATAGCACTGAGGATAAAGTAATTTTACACTGTATTAAAAAGTGTTAATTTACCTAAAATCGTGTACTTCTACACCCTGAGTTAAATCCCACTTTTGTTCAGTGTAAATTAACACTACTTTGGAAAAGTTCTAATTTTAAAAAGGTACTTTTACTCTTTTAGAGCAAACTTCTAGTGTAAATTAACACGAAAAGGTAAATAAAGAGAAACATTTATTTGGAACAAAAATCTATGAAAATCGGTGCCTTTTAAAATATAATTTTATGTTTGAGTCGTATGGCTGGCAAAATGGTTTCTCAAAACGTAAAAGTTTTAGATCAATGCAATGTTTTACTGGCTGTCAACTTGTAAGCAATGAATTATCTTGAGAATTCATCAGTAATCCATTTTTCTGTTATAAAAAATGGATGATTCCATTGGTAGAGAGGCGTCAGGCGGCTGTATGTCGGGGATTTACCACACGTGTATAAATTTTCCATAATATTAATAAAAATATAGGTGTAGGTTAATATAATAACCATTACGCTTAAAAATAAAAAGTAAATCAAGTGTGAATGTATTTATATTATTAATGTTACAAGAACCCGACCTACTGCCGTAAATTATTGATATATAATATAGGTCGGGTATGGACATGCTTTTAACATATTGGTATTTATTGAGTATTAAGGCTTAAAGAAAAAGGAAGTATAATACCTACCAAAAAATAAGAATTTTCCCTTATGGATTCACCGTAATTAAAATCTAACTGAACAAAAATGCCACACTTCCACTACGCGGTATCTCCGGATATGCACTGCATAGGTAGATAGGTACCAACCAAAAATTTTAAAACGCATTTCGGTTATTACCAGTTTTTTCAGTGTATTTTGCCAGTATTGGTGTAATTTAACTTTAATTGTGATACAATGTGAACTAGTACTGTAAAGAAAAAAGAGCTCTTAGTAACATCAAAACAGACAAAGAAATTGGCATGCACTGTAGTGTACATTTTGTCACTATTTAACACATTAAGGGGTTATTAACACTCGCATTAAGTTTTTCTACCCTTTTGATTTATTTTAATAATAAATAGTGTGAATGTACCAATGAATAATGTTCATATTCTTTAAATGTGTTTAATAAAGTTAATAAGCACTAAATCCTACCTAGTGTATTTTATAGTGTAACTCTAATATTTTTACCCCTACACTAAAAAATTTACACGAGCAATTTTTTTTACTGTGTACCCACAATTAAATTGTATCCAACTAAAAACCTATTCAAATAGTCATCCACCTAAATTACTACACAATTTAAACCTTCTTCTAAATTTTTTGCGAGTTCTTCTAATTTCCTTATATCAGTAATTTTGTTTTTAATTTTTCCAAATCATTGTTAATAGTACAATCCCTAGTATATTATAACACTGTAGTGAGGTGAAAATATCACAGCTAAACGCTCGGACACGTAAACTTAATTTTTGGTCGTAGATTTACAAATCCGTGCTTGGTTTATCTGCATGTATCAGGTCAAAATTCAAAGATATTGGAAACACTGCTGATTTTTTTTTATTGAGTATAATTAAGGATATTATGTTAAATGAAATAAAAAGCATAAATCTGTTGGCACAAGAGGTGAATTATATTATTTTACAAATTATCATATACCAGTATACAGTGAGTCCCCGGATCAGATTTCCAATAGGAAAAACTTTTTTAGACCTGATACAGCTAAACCGAGCACGGATTTGGAATCTGCGATCAAAAATTATGTTTACGTGTCCGAGCGTTTAGCTGTGATATTTTACAAAATTGCAAATTAACTTTACAAAACTTTCGGTAAAATATTTTCCTTTGTTAAAATATTTAACTAAACTACAAACTCAAAATCTAATTTTTATATCTAATTTTAGAATGTAACGTCCTCTGAATTAAATCTCACTGAATGTATAACAAAATCTCAAAAAGGGCTTAAAAATCCATAAAAATATGTCCAATTATTCCACCCACAGTTGTACATCAAATGAAGCATAATCCAGGCAATAGACTAAAACATGATTTACGCCGTATTTATAGGAAATTAATTCAGACCGAAATCCGATAAACGAGCGAGCATATTATCCAATCGGGCACAATCTGAAAATTTGATCTTGCTGATTTATACTACTTACTATACGGCGGAGTACGTGGCAGAGATATGCACCAGCAGTAAAACTGGCGTAAGTAATAGCAATAAAAGAGGGTGCGCCGACCGAAATCCTCTATGACA